GGAAGGCGTCCTGCTGCCGCCTGATCCCTGGACCTCAACCCAAGATGCTCAGTGTGGGGGTGGATGGGAACCCCGAGGACCAGAGGCTCGGCTGGGCACCCTGGCCCTCCCCCCGCCTGACTCGGAGACTGGGAGTGCCCGAGACCCTCTAACGTCAGCGCTGCCTGCGCCGTCATTTCCGGTGGGCTGGGCTGGGGGCTGGGCAGTGTGCCCGCGGGCCGTCACGTCAGAGTCCCTCGCCCACCCCTCGCTGAGGGCATTCGCACCATGGCGTCGGGCTCCGAGCTGCCCCGGGGTAGTATCTGTGCTCTAGTTCCACCCCTGGGATGGGGAGTCGTGGGGTGCGGACTGGGGAGGTGCTCCTGGTCCCCGCAGTGTGACACCGACCGCAGGAGAATCCCAATGTTCAAGGCTGGGGGACGTTGAGTCCATGAATGCGGCCTCTGACGCTCCTGACAAGGAACACCGTGAAACAGGTCTGCTTGCCGCAAAGAGGAGGCGCCAGGCTCTGGGGTTCCCAAGATCAGGTCGTGGATAGGTCCCAGCCATGGGCACGGCTCTGGACTCTGCTTAGAGGCAAGGCCTCAAATGGAGCCCGGGGCTTGTTGGCTGGTAGCTCAGGGAGGCAAAGGCGTTCTCTCCTGCAAAGGCAGATCTGGTTTTCCTCCTCATGCAGTAGTTTAGAAAATACTAGGTCTGCCCTGAAGGCACAAAGAGTGATCGGACTGGGAAAGGAGCCTGGGGTTCCGATGAACCCAGCTGGGCAAAGGGCTGAGCACAGGCCTGGCATGCAGCAGGAACGCCATCCCTCAGCCATCCACAGCTCTGAGTCACCAGGGCCTGCCCCCTCTATCCCCTGCAGAAGCAGTCAGGGAGTCTCCACCATTCTGGCAGTTGGTTGCCCAGCTTCAGCCCACCCCCACCCCACCCCAACCTCATGGGGCATAGGGGAGTCCAGCCTGAATCACCCTGCCTAGTGCCCGGGCAGTAATGAGAATCCAGCTTTGGTGGCATGCTCGTCCCTGCCAGGGACTAGGGCACAGGGAAGGTGGCTACAGGAAAGGAGGGCAAAGCCATGCTGAGCTTGTGGCTGGCATGGTACAGGCAAAAGGCTGAGAGATGACCGAAGACCTGGATGTTTTCAAACATGGGGCTAAGTCATCAGTGAAAACATCCTTAGCTCCAGGGGTGGAGGTGAAGCTTCAGGGTAGGGGCTGCTTTCATTGCCTTGGCAAGAGGGGGACCCGGCGAGCATCCTCACTGCCAAGGCCCTGGCCCTCAGCCCTCCTCTGGGGCTTCCTATGCTCCCTGGGGCAGCCCTGACTCCTGTAGTTACATTTACACAGAGCTGCAGAATGAAGAGACAAACAATGGGGAGGAGAACTTGGTGAGCTTGGGGTCCTGACCAGATCCCTCTGCAACTCATCCCTACAACCTGGTTGTCCATTAGACTCATCCTCTCCCCATCTCAATAAATGGCATTACCACCACCCTGTTACTGGAGCCAGAAGTCTCCTTGATTCTTCAGTCAATTCATCTGCACATCTTGGTTCCACACCCAAAATCTTTTCCATCTCCGTCTTCACTGCCACCAGCCTTGTCCATCCCACCATTACCTCCCTTCTAGACTGTCGAAGAAACTTCCAAACTCATCTTCTTACTACCACTCTTGCTCCCCTCCGATCCATGCTCCAACATTATCAGTTATATTTTCCAACAAAATGAAAAGCTTTCTATTGGTTCTCTTTGTCCACCAGGGGAAGAAAAATCCCAACTCCTTCCCACGGCCCCCAACTCCAAATTCATCGCCGCTCTATCCACTCCATTCCAGCTACTGTGGGCTTCTGTCAGGTCCTAATATTCGGTCAAGCTCTTTCTACCTTAGGGCTTTGGACCTTGCTGTCTCCTCTGCCTGAAACATTCTCCCCCCAGAGCTTGGCATGGCTGGCACCATCTCATCCCTTAAGTATTAGCTCAGATGCCCCCTTCTGAGGGAGGCTTTCCCTGAACTCTGAATCTAAACCTTCCCACCCCCACTAACCTGTTGCATAACCCGATTCATTTCCTTCATAGCACATGTTTCGGGTTGTTATAAATATTCATTTAACCTCACTGGAATGAAAGCTACACAAGGGCAGAGGCTCCTATGTCTCAGCCATAGGATTTTTTTTCTTGTTTTTTGTTTTACAAATAATTTTTATTTATCGATTTTAGAGAGAGAGGAAGGGAGAGGGAAAGAGACAGAGACATGAATGAAAGAGAATATCGATGGGCCGCCTCCTGCATGCCCCCCACTGGGGATCGAGCCCACAACCTGGGCATGTGCCCTGACTGGGAATGGAACCAGTGATCTCTTGGTTCAGGGGTCGACACTCAGCCACTGAGCCACACCAGCCGGGCCTTTTCTTCTTCTTCTTTTTTTTTTTTATCCTTACCCGAGGACATTTTTCGATATTTTGTTCAGATAGAGTGGGAGGGAGAGAGAGAAACATCGACATGAAAGGGACACGTCGAGTGGCCGCCACCCGCACAACCCAACCAGGGCCGGGGACAAACTGCAACCGAGGTACGAGCCCTTAGCGGGAACCGAACCCGGGTCTCTCTGGACCGCAGGCTGACATGCTAACCGCTGAGCGAAATCGGCCAGGGCCCTTTTCTTCTTTTTATGTAAACTATTTTATTGAAGTATAACATATATTCAGAGAAGTGTATACATAAGTGTACCCATCACTGATTTTCACTAATGAATACACCTGTATAACCAGCATCAAGATCAGGAAATAAAACACTCACAGCCCCCCAGAGTTCCCCACATGACTCCCCAAGGCCAAATACTATCCCAATTAGATTCATTTTTGCCCGTTTTAAACCTTATATAAGTGGAATCATGATCTCCCAATATGTCCATATCTGAACCTCCAGAATCTTTGAATATGTCACACTGCTTGGCAAAAGGGATCTTACAGATGTGATTAGGTAAAGGACCTCAAAATGGGGAGATTATGCTGGATTATTATCCAGATAGGCCCAGTGTAACCCCAAGGGTCTTTGAAAGTGGAAGAGGGAGACAGAAGAGGTCACTGATGCAGTATGAGAAGGACTCAACCTGCTGTTGATGCTTTGATGATGGAGGAAGGGAGCCACGAGCCAAGGAATGTGGGCAGCTTCTAGAAAGTGAAAGAGGCAAGGAAACAGACTCTCCCCTGGAGCCTCCAGAGGGAACTCAGCCTTGCAGACACCTGGATTTCAGCCACTGAGATATTCTCAAGACTTCTAACCTACAGAAGCATAAGATAATACATTTGTGTTGTTTCCAGCCTCTAAATTGGGGATAATCTGCTACAGAAACAATGGTAAATACAAGGACTTACTCTATGTATCTGATGTATTTCTCTCAACATTTTATTTGTACTCTATAATACTCCATTACATGAATACATCACATTTTATTCATCAACTTTTTAAAATATGTTTTTATTGATTTTTTAAATGTTTTTATTGATTTTTTTAGAGCGAGAGGAAGGGAGAGAGAGAGAGAAACATTGATGTGAAAGAGAAACATCTGGCTGTCTCCTTCACGCCCCTACTGGGGATCAAGCCCACAACCCGGATATGTGCCCCGAGCAGGAATCGAACCCGGACCCCTCAATCCCTGAGACTTAGCTCAATCCACTGAGCCACACCAGCCAGGCTGTTTTTTATTGATTTTAGAGAAAGAGAAAGGGAGAGAGAGAAAGAGAGAGAAACATGGATGAGAGACACGTTGACCCGCTGCCTCCTGCACACCCCCTACTGGGGATCAATCCTGCAAACCCAGCATTGTGCCCTGGTTAGGAATCCAACCAATGACCTCTTGGTGCATGGGACAATGCTCAGTCCACTAAGCCACGCCTGCTGGGCTATTCATCAACTATTGATGGACATTTGGATTGTCTCTTCCCACTGGGCTTCGTGCTTCCTTTTCTTCCTCTACAGGTGTTGATCCTTCTAAAGGAGTTGAACACCTCGTCATATGTTTATTGGGTCATTTTGGTCACTTGTGAAGTTTCCAGCAGTCTTTATTTATTTATTTTTTTACTCCTCACCCGAGGATATTTTTCTACTTATTATCAGATAGAGTGAGAGGGAGGGAGAGAGAGACAGAGAGAAACATCAATATGATAAAGCCACATCGACTGGTTGCCTCCCACATGACCCCACCAGGGCCTGGGACGAACTGCAACCGAGGTCCGTGCCATCGACAGGAATTGACCCCGCGACTCTTTGGTCCACTGGACGAGGCTCTTAACCGCTGAGCCAAACTGGCCAGGGCTCTAACAAAGTCTTTTACCCACTATTCTACTGCATTGTCTTTCTTTTTCTTGTGAATTTGAAAGTGTTCTTTCTGCATTCTGGATACAAGTCCTTTGTTGGATATATTTGCCACATATTTTCAGCTGGATATACTTAGGGTACTTCAACAGTACCAGCACATAGTGGGTCCTAATAAAATGAATTACATGAATGCTTGAGTCTGAAAACTCCTTTAAGGACGAATCGGTGAAACTGTGTTTGATTTTAATGAGTATCATTGAATGTAGGATATAGGATATGGATCTCAAGGAGAATAAAACAGGAACTTAAAGAGAAAGGCCCAGAATGCAAATAACACACTCTCAAACCTCACCACTCCTGGCCTGAGGTTTCTGACCACGGGCATTTCAGCATTCAACTTCTTAAAGGTAATTGTAAATGAAGTCATTCATTCATGGAAGATATCAATAGGTCGGCCTGTTCCAAGCACTGAGGAGCCAGCTGTGAACAAAAGATAAGTTCCTTGCTTTCAGGAGATCCAGAGGGAGAAAAACACAACAGGCAAACAAAATAAAATAATTTCACATAGTGAGCCCTAAACTGAAGGAGCCCAGCATGGAGGGAAGGGGCGGGTTGATTTAGCAGCTGTCAGACCCGGGCATCAGGGAGATCCCGCCCTCAGCCCCGCCTCTAGCTTTGCATACATCTTCTGATTGGCCGGCGGTGGTCGGCCCCACCCCGTGGAGCGGGCGGTTGGGGAAGCTCTGGGCTGTTGGGGAGGCGCCGGGCAAACCCGGCCAAGATGCAGTCGCGGCACCGGGTGTCGCTGGGCGAGCCGGGGGCAGCGCGGGCTGGAGCTGGGCAAGAGGCGTCCGCCGTAGCACCCGCGCACTCGTAGTGCCCCAGACCTGCCTGCGGGCCCGGGCCCTCCTTGTCGCCTAACCGCCCGCCTTCCCCTCCCCTCTACCCTTTGTGCCGCCGCGGCTCGGTGCTCCCGGCTCCGCAGGACCCCGGCCGGGCCAGACCGCCGCGGCGCGTCCGCCCCCTGTGGGCGCCGGGTCAGCGGCCGATGGCGAAGGGGCACAGCGCGGGCGGGGGCGCTGCAGCCGGAGTCCGCGGCACGGGAGACCCGGCCCGCCTCCGCCGCATTGTCCCGGGCCCCGCACCCCGGCCCTGAGCCGCGTCGCCGCAGCACCCGCCCGCCGCCCGCGGGGCCATGCGGAGGGCTGCCGGGATGGAGGACTTCTCCGCGGAGGATGAGGAGCCCTGGTACGACCAGCAGGACCTGGAGCAGGGTGAGCACGGAGGAGAGGGCCAGGAAAGCGAGGTGCGCCCCGCGACCTCTGTCCGCTTCTCCATTGTTGGGCGGTGTCACCCCCGGAAGAGCTGGGCTGGACCCCGCAACCCGGACTCCGTGTGGAGAATGGGGACGTGGACAGAAGGGGTGCGCTGCCGGGGAAGACCGGGCCCGCGAAGACCTGGGAAAGTCGGGGAATGGTCTCCCTCTTTCCCCGAAGGACAGGGGCATACTTCACCCAGCTCGCCCACCCCAATTTAGAGGCAGGAACTGCCCAGGGGCCCCTGATATTGTCGGGGGGGGGGGGCTGAGTACTGGCTAGAATTCTTTGGAGGCCGGGCGGTGGCTCCTTGGTTGTTTTGCTAGGAGGGGTGGAGTGTGTGGGGGGAGGGGGAGAATTATCTTATCCCAAATCCAGTGTCACCCTTCCCTGCCAGAATTCCTGAGCTCTAAGACTCAGAAAGTTTCCCCAACTACCTTCCCCTCTACCAGGGAGGGGGTATGGGTGCGGGGACCCTGCCAGGGGAGAAGTGGAGATTTGGCGTCATCAATCTGCCTTCCCGAGGGAGGAGTCCCCTGGCCCTTGCCTTCCCTGTCCCTGTCCCCTTTCGAACTGCTCATGGTTTGAAGGGGGTCAGGTTTGGGAATTCTGAGCAAGGGCCCAGATTAAAGCCTGAATAAAGAGGGAGCCACCTCCCCCCTCCATCTGAGAGCAGAGAGAGTGACTGGAAGTGGGTTAGACGCTGGTGATGAGGTGGCCGAAGTGACATCACTAAGAGTAGGGGGCGGGCTGTTAGGACAGGAAGGAAGAGGAGGCCTAAGAGGGTCAGAGCCAAGGCCTGCTAGAGTGGACTCAAATCCACCCTCTCCTCTCCAAGAGCGCCTCATTCTTGGATGGTCAGGGCTGGAGGGATGTCCAGGAGAAGTGACCACAGTCCCCAGCAAGCGGGCAGGTGTGGACACAAGTCTGGTTCCATGTGTGCTGACACTCTTGCTCTGGGGCTCCATCCACGGTCCCCAATGCCTGGCTTTGCCCTCATGGGAGACATCTACCCAGATCCTGGAGCCTTTGTTTCCTGGCCCTGACCCACATCGCCACGTGGTCAGATTTGCTGGTAGATGAGGCTCAGTCCTTGTGATGAGGAATGTGGGGTAATCAGAGCCTCCGAGGACGAGCGTGGGACTGGGGGTGCTGGGCTGCACCCTGCCATCCTCTGCCCTGGACTCTACTCTCAGCTTCCCTCCCTGGAGTGAGATGCCCAATACTGGCTGCGACAATCCCTCCCCAACCCTGGGCACTACCCCCACCCCCTAATTCTACATCCCACAAACACCTATCAGGCTCCACTTAAGTGTCAGACACTATCCTGGGCACTGAGAATAGTCCCAGCCCTGGGCCACTAAATGGACTGGGCAGGTGGAGGTGGGCCTGCAGTCGAGTGTCGGGGATAGGATGCAGTGAGAGGGCTTCGTGGAAGAGGCAGGCCTAGAAAGAGGTGGGAAGCTGAGTGCCTGGGAAGATGGCCTCCCGGGAGCAGATGCTGACATTGTTGCTGTCTCATTTCATTCCTGCACCAGAAGTCTCTGGCACTGTGCCCAGCCCAGATGTGGGGGGAAGGAGCCAGGGAGAAGGGGTGGGAGATGTGCTGCTCCCAGAGAGGGAGAGCTGACCAGATTCCCACTGGGCTGGGCGCCTGCTCTGGGCCAGGGTGGGGGGTTGGCCCAGTCGGCCCCCTGCTCTGGCCTTGCTGGTCTGCAGGGGTCGTCCTAGCCCCAGTAGTACCCAGAGCCCAGGAACAAGGAGGAAAACCAGAAACGAGACAGTCTCAGAAGAAACTGGAGCTTTCCACCAAACACCAAGGTCTGCTGCCATGGGTACAGTGCAGTGATCTCTGCCCTCGGGGAACTCCACATTCCAGCAGAGGAGGCAGAAAGGAGATCAAACTAGCAACGCCCGCCGGTAGAGCCACAGGGGTGCTGCAGCAGACAGCCTCAGGAGGGTTCACACAAAGGCCCCTCTGACTGGAGGGTGAAAAGGAGTTCCCTGGGCCGAGGAAGGACAGGCAGGCACTCTAGGTGGAGGAGACGCTTGTACAAAGCATAGAGCAATGTGGGAAGACCCTGCATGACTGGAAAGTAGGACTTAGAGTGCTGGGGGTCCCATGCACAGGTACTGTGGCACTGCCCCCGTGGGGCCACCGTGGAGAGCTGGATGGTGGCATATTTGCCAAAAGCTGGTCACATTGGGGATCAGGTGCCTGTCGCGTCCTTCTTCCCTACACCCAATTCCCCAGTTCTCTGCACAGCTGCTCCCTAGGTCCCTCTCAGTGTCCCAGGAAGTGGTCTGCCCAGCCACCCGGACTCCCTCCACCACGTTAGGGCAGGCCTCGACTTCACTTCCCGAAGCGGCCGTCGAGATCCTGTTTGACTTGGTGCTGTTCTGTCCCCAGAGCAGGGTCCTCAGTTCTCACTGTGTTCCCTCTGCCCATCGCCACAGTGCCTGTAAAAATAGAAAATGCCATTAATTATTAAGCACTGGCACTGCCCCCTCCCTTGGCAGGCCCTGTGGGTACCTCTTTCCAGGCTGAGAGATGGTTGCTGAGTCACAGATTTGAAGTCCTGGGCCCCTGACCTTGAGTCTCAGCCTCGGGCAAGAGCTCTGGCACGGCAGTGGCAGTGGGTGACTGGACCCCAACTGTGTGGACACAGAGTTCCTGACATTCATGCCCGTAGGCTGTAAGCAGGACACTTGCAGCCCTGCCAGGTGGTAGATGGGCTCCTCCCTCCCCCGCCCCCTTTATCTTTGTCTCTTCCTCCCTGTGCCTGTCCCCTGCCCCTTTCCTACCTCTGGAGCTGCTCCGGAGTCAATGCGGCCCCACCCAGACCCCAACCAGCGAGGGGCAGTGGGAATTCAGCATTTTTTTTTTTTAAATCCTCACTGGAGGATATTTTTCTATTTATCTTCAGATAGATTGGGAGGGAGAGAGAGAAATATCAACGGGAGAGAGACACATCAATTGGTTGCCTACCACACAACCCCGACCAGGGCCTGGAATGAACTGCCACCAAGGTACATGCCCTTGACTGGAATCGAACCCGCGACTCATTGGTCCACTGAGCCAAACCAGCTAGGGCGGAGTTCAGCATTTCTTTTCAAAGACATCCCCTCCTCCTGGCCATGCCCTCTCAGGCTTCAGGGGCATTGCTCTTGGCAGTACCTCGGCTGCTTGGGTGGGGTGGTACTGCTGAAGCCTGCTGCAGGAGACCCAGAAAACTCCGGGGTACGGCAGGGGAGGTGCCAGTAGACTCGGTACCTTCCCTGGCTTGGCCAGTGATCTGGTTGTGACAGGCTGTTTATTCCTCCGGCTTCCGACTTGGCCAGCTCACCCATTCTCCCACTCCCAGTCCTCCCTCCCGCTCCGCTCCCCAGAGCTGCACCCTCCCTGGAGCCCTCAGGTAGCTGGTGTCCCGTTCCCAGCATTTGGCTCCACTCGGTCCCTGGCTGTGCAGCTTCTAGACTTCTCCCGTGACCCCTCCTGGCAGCTCTGAGCAGCTGAGCTTGCATTGTGATCGTTTCCCTGAGACAGTCCCTGAGATTCTCCCCACCCCAAAGAGCTTCCAGTGTGTTCCCTTCTTCCCCATCCCTGAGTCACTAGGCGGTCCAGGTCACAGTCACTGCCTTCCGAGGCCATATCCCTGGTTTCTAGTGTGGCTTCAGCTGGCCCAGCCCCCTGCCATAGGAAGGCACACAGCTCAGATGCTCACCTGGGAGGACGAGCAGGAAGTGCAGTGTTCACGACCCTTCCTCGCTCCACCTCTGAGCCCTTGACTCTAGGTTAAGCTGCAAGGGATCCACACAAGCCATCCAGAGCCTGTCTCCTGACACCAATGCAGTTGACATCAGTAGCAGTGGCCTGTTTACAGACTACCTGACAGTTTCCAAGGGAGAAAATGTTGAGTGTGGGTGGTCTTGCTGGGCTCCCGAATTTCCACCTAGCACTCGGAATAATACAGGGCTGCAGTTCCATGACCCTAACATCTAACTTCACACTTTGCAGACTCGCCAAACTTATAGTTAAGAAATTCATACCATGTCCTCGCCCCGCTAGGTTTGTGTGAGGAAGCTAGTTTTTCTTGGCATCATCATCAGAAGGTTAATTGCTCAAGGCTACAGGTTCTTACCTGAGATTGTCTGGGTTGGTATGTTGTCTGATGGCTGGCGTGGGTGTTAGGAAAGCAGCTTGTTTGTCCAGGAGGCTACTGTCCTTGCAGCCTTGCTCTGGGACAGCAGCTTTGCACTCTCCATCCAGGGAGCTCCTCTGGGTTCCATCTGGCAACATCCCCCCCGCCCCCCCAGCATAGGTCTAGCCTGGTGGTGGCTGCGCCCTGGCTATTTTAAAACTTCACCTCTTGCTCGGCTGGTGTGGCTCAGTGGTGGAGCATCGACCCATGCACCAAGAGGTTGCTAGTTCGATCCTAGTCAGGGCACATGCCCAGGTTGTGGGCCCGATCCCCAGTGGGGGGCGTGCAGGAGGCGGCCGATCGATGTTCTCATCGATGTTTCTATCTCTCTCCAAAAATCAATAAGGAAAAAAAAATTTAAAAACAAAAAACAAAACCTCCCCTCTCTGTGCGGAAGCAGACTCCAGTTTGTTCCTAACAGATGGCTAGGCCTTTAATCCAGGTAATCCAGGCCTGGTGGCCCCTCGGCCCCTCTGGCTTCCATGAGGTGAGGCCAGTCCCACCCGCAGCTGCTGAGAGTCACTGCTCTCTGCGGCTCTCCCAGAGGAAAACCCCACCCCAGGCTTGTCAGTGCTGAAACAGCTGCAGTTCTGAAACTTGAGGAGGGCGTATGGAGACCATCCACCCTGCAGGGGCCTGGAGCACCCCTGTCTTTCTGAAAAGGGAAAGGGGTATGAGCACAAGCCCTGGACCACATCACTTCGGCCCTATCAGAGCCTCTTTGTCGGGGTTTATACCGGCAGCCTAGATTGAGGGCCTCATTGTGGGACAAAGACCCAAGGTTTCCTGAATGGCATTTTGGTGGAACGAATCAAATAGAACCATCCTCCTCCCTGCCACACAGCCCCCTAAAACCAGGCCAGACCCCCTCCCAGCCTCTCCGACATGTTTTCATGTGCCTTGGGCTGGGGTAGGGGCGAGGCGGTTCCAGTCCTTCAGGTACAGGGTGGCCGGCAGAGGGGGATGGTTTTGTTTCTCAGGGAAAGAAGGTTTCAGAGAGGGGCACGTGTCACCAGGACCAAATGCTACCAGCTGGGGCGAGGAGACCTGAATTCTGCTTTCAACCTGCCTATAACCCAAGTGATGACCTTGGGCAAGTCATTCTTCCTTCTCTGGCCTGTCATCCATAGAATAAGGGGCCAGAGAGCTCTCTGAAGCTTCACCCAGTTCTAATGCCCAGCAAGCCCCTCTGCTCCCCCACCTCTCAGCGAGCTCCCAGTCACCCTCCAACACAAGCTCGGAGGCTGCCCACTGGCTGAGGCCCCTGCTGTCCCCAGAAAAATGAACTCTCCTTACTTATTGTCCAAGACACTTTGCCCTCGTGTTTTATCAGTTCTACTCATTCTTTCAGAAAAGATTTATACACCTGCTCTGTGCCAGGTATTGTTCTAGGTCCTGAGACTATCAGTGAAGGAAACAGGCAAAATCCCTGCCCTGTGAGCTTACAATTAGTCAGGAGAAATGAACAAGATAAATGAGCGAATTGTTTGGTAAGTTAGATGGTGATTCATGCTAAGGAGGAAAAAAAGTGGGGAGAGAGTGCAGGGTGGGGGAGGGTGCGATTTAAAATTGATGGTTGGGGAAAGGCCTCCTGGAGAAAGTGACACTTAAGCACAGACCTGAAGGCACAGAGGGATGAGTCCTGGGAGTGTCTGGGGAGAGGACATTTCAGGCTCCCCAGACACAGGCAACAGCCAATGCAAAGGCTTAGCTCCTGGCTTACATCCCCTCCCAGGCCTGGAGGCTCCCCTAGTCAGCCTCTGGGTCCTGGTTGTCTTGGGGTCCCTAAGGCCTACCCCAGAACATGAACGGGGGTGCCCTGGCTTCTTTCTCACACTGCTCATTGTTTCTCCCTCCCTCCAGACTTGCACTTGGCCGCAGAGCTGGGGAAGACACTGCTGGAGAGGAACAAGGAGCTGGAGGAGTCTCTGCAGCACATGTATGCCACCAATGAGGAGCAGGTGCAGGAGATTGAGGTGAGGGCCCGGGCCCTGCACACACTCCCCATCCCAGCAAGGGTGCAGCTTAGGAGAAGGCCCGGCCTGCACAGCTATCCCAGGCAGACCTCTTGCACCACCGTCTTTACCCCCATCTTTACCTCCCTAGAAGTGGGAGGAGGGCCCGGGCAGAGACATTTTCCCTAACGCTGTTCTGAGAGGTCACTCTCCCACCACCCCCTACAACCCCCAGTACCTGACCAAGCAGCTGGACACACTGCGGCATGTGAATGAGCAGCACGCCAAAGTGTACGAGCAGCTGGACCTGACAGCCCGAGACCTGGAACTGACCAACCAGAAGCTGGTGCTGGAGAGTAAGGCTGCCCAGCAGAAGATCCATGGGTGAGGGCCGGGTGGAGGACTGTGGGGAGGAGGGGCAGGCAAGGAGAGGCCCAGGGCTGGGTGTGCATGAGGACAAAGGGACCAGTGGGTGTGATGCCTGCTCCTGCTCTTCCCAGCAGCCCAGGCTGGCAGCCTGGGATGGTAGTGAGTTTGCCCTTGTAGATTTGGGGTGGTTTAACATTCAGGCCACAACGCTTTAAGCACCAACTATGCACCAGATTCTGTTTAGTCATTGGGATACAGTAATGGAGATACAAAGACACTGTCTCCTCTGGGAGCTCACAGTCCAGTAGGGAAGGCAGACATGGGAACATCTTATTGCATTGCAGGGTGATAAGTGATAGAGGGTGTACAAGGAACTGAGGTGGTGCAGAGGAGAAATGGTCAGCGTGGCGTGGGAGAGGGTGGGTGCATGGAGCCCATCTGACCTCAACACCAGGAGACATGGCTCAAGGTTACCCATCTGTGCCCAACCCCATGTCTCTCCAGAGCTGCAGTGAGGAGGGCTGGCCCATCTCTTTAAAGTCTCTCCCATGTATGTCGTCCCCCCCCCCCCAGGCTGACAGAGACCATTGAGCATCTGCAGACCCAGGTGGAGGAGCTGCAGGCCCAGGTGGAGCAGCTTCGGGACCTGGAGCAGCTGAGAGTGCACCGGGAGAAGCGGGAACGCAGGCGCACCATCCACACCTTCCCCTGCCTCAAGGAGCTGTGCACCAGTCCCCGGTAGGTGGGGCCGCACTCGTGGGTTGAGCACCTGGACCCTGGACGGTGTCTCCGAGTGCCCAGGACTGCCAGCCAGGAGAGAAAGGAGAGGGCACTTGGTGCAACGTCCGGGCTATTGGCAAGACTGGCCCTGTTGCTAACAATAGTCAGCAGCTGGCATTTACTGAGCCCTGGCCGTGTGCCCGTGACTCTGCTAAGTGGCTTAATAATATTGACAGTACCATGAGGTGTGTTTTATCATCTTCACTACTCAGATGAGGACATTGAACCCCAGAGGATATGTGTCTTTCCAAGAGCACCTGCTTAGTAGTAAGCCGGAACCCTGACCCAGGAGGGGTTAACCAACACACCTCTCAGTCCCCACTAAACCTTCTCAGTGGAGTGACTCGTCAGTGTAAGAATACACATGGTGTATTTAGTGTGTGTTTCGGTGTGGGTCCTGGCAAGAGACAGTGCCTCACACAGAGTAGTTGAGGGGCGATTCATGAAGTATGGACAAGGTACAGGAAAACTGGAAGTGGGGATGGAGACTGCAGCCCCAGGGTTGTGACACTGAGGAGCTGTTACCCTGGGTCTAAAGGGGGCCGGGGCAGGGAGATCACTGGAACCCAGAAGGCATGGAGGGTGCTGCCTGGCCTGCACTGACCAGGAAGAGGCCTGGGAAGACATTCCCACCTCTGTCCACTCCCACCTTCCAGCCTCCAGCCCATCCCTCCCTTTGACTGAGCCCAGGAGAGAGCCAGGTAACCCGGCTGAAGCAGTCCATTGAGGTCAGCATTCCAGGGCATAGGGCAGAGGGAGACCTGCCCAGAGTGGATCTGGAGGGACAAACAGAATATGCAGCCCAGTGGACTAGGAAGGTGTAAGTGTCCAGGGCTGGGCTCCCAGGCCTTGCCCTTGACCAAAGCCCTCTGCCCACCTGCCCCCTCCCCCAGGTGTGAAGATGCCTTCCGCCTGCACAGTTCCTCCCTGGAGCTGGGCCCCAGGCCGCTGGAGCAGGAGAACGAGCGGCTGCAGACGTTGGTGGGGGTGCTGCGTTCGCAGGTGAGCCAGGAGCGGCAGCGCAAGGAGCGGGCGGAGCGCGAGTTCGCCGCGGTGCTCCAGGAGTACTCGGAGCTGGAGCAGCAGCTCTGCGAGATGGAGGGCTGTCGCCTTCGCGTGCAGGAGCTGGAGGCCGAGCTGCTGGAGCTGCAGCAGATGAAGCAGGCGAAGACTTACCTGCTGGACCGGGAGGACCACCTGGCCGAGGCCCTGCTGGCACCCCTCACCCAGGCCCCCGAGGCCGATGACCCCCAGCCAGGCAGCGGGGAGGAGTTTGGCGCCCAGGACGGTGTCTCCTCCCCAGCCACCTCCCCCGGCCATGCTGTGCGCAAGAGCTGCAGCGACACGGAGCTCAACGCCATCGTGGCCAAAGACTCGGCCAGCCGGCACGCAGGCAACCTCACGCTGCACGCCAACAGCGTGCGCAAGCGGGGCATGTCCATCCTGCGGGAGGTGGACGAGCAGTACCACGCGCTGCTCGAGAAGTACGAGGAGCTGCTGAGCAAGTGCCGGCAGCACCGGGCTGGGGTGCGGCATGCTGGCGTGCAGACCTCGCGGCCCATCTCCCGGGACAGCTCGTGGAGGGACCTGCGGGGGAGTGAGGAGAGCCAGGGGGACGCCAAGGCGGGTGAGAAGAGCCTGAGCCAGCACGTGGAGGCCGTGGACAAGCGGCTGGAGCAGAGCCAGCCCGAGTACAAGGCGCTCTTCAAGGAGATCTTCTCCAGGATCCAGAAGACCAAGGCTGACATCAATGCCACCAAGGTCAAGACCCACAGCAGCAAGTGACCCTGTGCTGGCCTGCAACCTCCCCGAGGTCAGGCCATGGGTCCCTCACGCCTGGGCTGTGCTGCGTGTGGTGAGTGAGGGAGGCTTGTAGCAGCAATATATTCCAGTGGAGGCCGCTCTCTGCCCCAGGAGACGGGGGACAGCTTGTTCCCTGCTGATGTGGGAGCCGGTCACCATGTCAACATGCCTGGCCTCCCCGGACCCTCCACCACCCTGTGTCAGCCCAGGGCCCAGCTAAGAGTTTCAAAGCCAAACGTCCCCACTTCCCTGGGGATTCCCAGCTCCCCCAGCTTTCTGACCCCAGATTTGTGGCCAGGCTTCTAAAAGTCTTTCTGGACCAGCTGGCTTTTTTTCCCCAAAGTTTGGGGATGGGGGGTTTGAGAGATTTGCAATGTAAGGCCCCCCAGACCCCTTGCCACAACTGGAAACACTTGAAGGGGGACCCCAGAGCCAGCTGTGGCAGATTCCTGGGGTCTCCGCGACCACTCACTGCTTCTCCCCAGCTGTGACATGCTGTCATTTCCTTAGCACCAGCTGTCCTACCCCCAGGGTCCTGCCCAGGTCAGAGATGGCCCTGCCATGCAGTGCAGAAAGCCTCAGCCTGGCCTCGAGTGCCCCCTACTCCAGCCCTGGTGAGGGTGGCCTTCTCCCAGGCCGCAGCCCCCTGCAGATCTGTAGCCAACCAGAGGGGAACAGCCCCCCTGCAGCCATACCTGAGCGGTGCACCCGGTTTCCCTCAGAGCCAGCCTCCTTGGGTTCCAGCCCTGGAAATGCCCTCTGGGCATTAAGCCTTCCAGGGGTCTGGGTGGTGGGGTGCCTCCCATTCTCTGCACGCCGCCCACAACTCATTGAGTTTGGCCTCTGACTGCCCCCACCTCAGGGACCATAACGTGTCTCATTCACTCCCATGCTCCCCACAGGCTGACCCCCCACAGGCCATGCCTGCTGCCCCCAGAATGTCCTGGGCACGTGCAACAAGCCAGTGGTCCCAGCGTCCACCCCTGCCCCCCTTCACTGGGGACAGCCCAGGACGTTCACCCCACAATGAACAGTATTGAAATGGGACAGATGGATGGAGAGCATGTCTCCTTCCTCCCATAACATGCCTGCTTTTAACGTCCTGCCTTTGTAAGGACTCTTGAGAACCCAGCTGGGTCAGGGTTTTAATCTTTTGTTAAGGTTTCAGAAAGTCCAACTTCAAGTAAGAGATGCCCAGATCCCCAGCTTGCCCTGAGCAATTCTTCAGGGCTTCCTGTTCCTGCCACCCATCCTGAGACTGGAGAGATCAGAGGAGCCATACAGCTGGTGAAGACGTGGCCCTGGCCTCTGTGCTGGGAGCCCGGTGGGAACCTTCATGCCTTACTTGTTTCTAAGGGGTAAAGGGGTTTTCTTACTAAGTATGCCCGACCTCCCCAGAGGTGCCACCCTACTCCCCAGGAGGCACTGTGATGAGAGCTGTCGGCTGGTCCTTCGTCCACACATCTTGAAACCCTTTGTCCTTTGGAGCTGGCAGCTCCCAGCCCTCTGTGTGTCATCTAGGGTGGAGGGGGTGGGGTGCATCGGGGTGGGGGAAGGGCTCCTGCCTGTTCGTCCCCGGTTCTGTAGCAGCCCACCAGCATCACATTTGAAGTATACATGAGAGAAATATATTTACAAATGCTTTATTCTCTTCTTTAATAAAAAACGCACCAGTATTCTAAAAGCAGAAATGGCCCTGTCTCTGTGTGTCTCACACGTCCGCCTCCCATCACACGGTTTTGGGGGGAGAGGACTCCCTGAACCTCATTCCCCTGCGACTGGCAGCTGTTGAGCTCTGAACAGTAGGTCCAGAAAGTTGCCATGTTTGAATGCCAGCTACGAGGGCCCTCTTGCCTTGCAGGGCACCCCATGCTGGGTGGACCCTCCTTGCTGCACAGATTTTGCAGTACCCTCCTCCCAGCCCACACCTGCCAACAGCTTTGATTTCAGAAGCCAAAGAAAAGGCTCCTGGGTCTTTGGGGGCTCAGTTTCTCACTGCCTTCTCCACTCCCGTGTCCACACACAATTCTGCTGGCTCTGTGGATCCCTATCCACGAGGAAAAGCTTCCAAAATCTTCCCCTGGAGGGGTTGGCTCAGGGACCTCCCTCCAACACCCCTCCATCCTGTTCCTGAGGGAGCAGGAGCAATCTCCCTTGGACCCTGGCAGTGTAGTGTGGGGAGCCCAGAACTGGGCCCCAAATATAGTGTCTGGTTTTTTGTTTTGTTTTTTCCTTACCCGAGGACATTTTTCCATTTTTTTGTTCAGATAGAGCGGGAGGGAGAGAGAGGAAGAGAGAGAGAGAGAAACATCGATGTGAAAGGGACACATTGAGTGGCTGCCACCCACACGACCAACCAGGGCCGGGGACAAACTGCAACCGAGGTACGTGCCCTTGGCGGGAACTGAACCCGGGTCTCTCTGGACCGCAGGCCGACGCTCTAACCGCTGAGCCAAACCAGCCAGGGCAGTGTCTGCTTTTTAAGTCAACTGACCAGCATGTGGGTTTTAAGTACACAGCATGCAAATGGCTGTCGATTCCCTGTCCCGCTGGGACCTGTCTCCAGTGGGATGGAGAGCACACTGTGGGTGAGACACCGGGGCAGTTGCACCCGAGGAGCAAAGGAAGCTGTGACTTGTATCCAGCCACCCTTCTCTCCCTCGCCTTTCATCTCCGGTGGATATGTTTCTTCCTGTCACCATTTTGTCCTTACTCCGCTGCCTCCCAGGGTCTCTCCCCTGCCTCTCCTCCTTTCCCAGACTGACAACCTACCCCAAGACCAAACACGGTGGTAAGGGAAACTGGTCCCTCCTCCCACTACCCCAGGTAACAGACCTGCCTGTGCCTCCCTGCAGACCCTGAGCTGAAAGCCTGGTGGTGTTTTCAGGTAACTAGGCAGAGAAGGAGGCAGCTTCCAGGAAGAAGGGGGCAGCTTGGCCCACCCAAGCCAGGGGCATGCTCTGTGCTGCCCGCCCAGCCCCTCAGGGGAGAAGGAGAGGTCTGGAATACAGCTAGTTCGACTGGATTTCCCACCCCAGTGATGCAGAGAGAAAAAGATAAAAGCCATCAGATCTCTGCAGGTATAAGGAAGTTCCTTCAAAAAAACCTGTCCACTCTTAGCATGACTTGGTAGCAGGTAACTTTTGTTGCCTGCGGACAGGCAGCTATAAAATCTCTTCTTTTACTGATGGGGATCCTGAGGCTTAGAGGTTAAGTTAGTAGTTCAAAGTCACAGAGAAATATTTAAGCCCAGACCTGAGCTAATCCCACTGCACAATACCGAACATCCCCTATTTCCATGTAGTGTGGAGTTTTAAGAGCCAGTCTGGGTGGTGCCCCAACTCCCAGGCCACAGAGAAGGCTGGGATCCTTATCTCCTCACCCCTGTGAGTGTCCCCTTCCTGAAGCACCGGCTCGGCCTATGGAGGAGTAAGGAGGGGAAGAAGGCCGGCCTCAGCCTTCAGTGCCCACGTTTTTAAGGGAACAGGTAGCACCTCTCAGGCCTGTTTCTCCCAGAAGGGCTTCTATCCCGGGTGGTTCACTGCCACACCAGGTGAAGAGCTTGACAGCTGCCCTCTCCACCTCAGGGTAACTTGTCTCATTCTCTCCCCTACCCACCTCCTCTCCCAGAATCCAGGGCACCAGATGGCCCGAGCAGGCTGTGTTTATTTGGGGCCATGGATACCAGTTTCCTTTTCCTATCATTCTGGGTCATGTACAGGGCTGGAGTCCAGCCTCAAAGCAATGATGCCATGGAACGGTGCTGACTTTGTTATTTATAATCCCAGAGCCAGGGACCTGGGTGAGTCCCTGGCTTTGCTCCCCTGAGAAACGTATTGCAGTCATCATGGAGACGCCTCTATTCCCTCTGAGGTCTTGAGACTAAGTCAGACAGGGAGAGATCCAGGAGACTCCCTTCCAACTGAGGAAGACATATGTTGCCCGGCCCATGTGGCTCAGTGGTTGAGCGTTGACCCATGCACCAAGAGGTCACCGGTTCAATTCCTGGTTAGGGCACATGCCCAGGTTGTGGGCCAAATCCTCAGTGGGGAGCATGCAGGAGGTGGCCAATCGATGATTCTACCTATCTCTCCCTCTCCCTTTCTCTCTCTCTCTTAAAAAAAAAAAGGTATATGCCAATTACCATCTTCTTCCTAGTTTGGGTTACAATACCAGTGCTGGAACTAAGATGGCAAAGCCTTGATGACAATCTCCTGTTCCAAATAGCCAACATCCCCGGGGATATATTGTTCTGGGCAATTATGCTTTTCCTAAAAATAGAAGTCTTCATTAAGAAAACAACCACTAATATTATTGATAATCATTAACAGTCACTGAGCTCTGTTTTCATTTACCACACTGCCTCTCAACCAAGTATCTCAGCCAACATTGAACTGTTTGCAAACTGGTTGTTCTGCTTTGAACCTTTCTTGGAGTTAGAACCTCTCGGTTTTGGAGCTGATGTCTTACCAGCCCTGTAAAAGGGATCGGCTTAGCCTGGCTGGCTGGCTGAATCTCTACCTTCCTCCTCAGCCTCTTGATCTCCTGGCTAGAAGGAACTGCCATGATGCTCCACAAAACTGCAGGTTTCCCCACAAAGGGAGTGGGGGTGGGCGTGGTCTACTTTTTTCGACATTTCTTTCTGCACCTGCCTGCCTCTCCTCCCATCTGGTATTTGTCCTGTAGGGTTTGTTTGTTTGTTTTTATTCCTCACCCTAGGATATTTTTCTACTTATTATCAGATAGAGTGAGTGGGAGAGAAACATCAATGTGATAGAGCCACAGGGACTGGTTGCCTCCCGCAGACCCCACCGGGGCGGGGAGGAACACGTGCCCTTGACCCCTTGACGGGAATGGAACCCGCGACTCCTTGGTCCGAGAGGCCCTAACCGCTGCGCAAACCGGCCAGGGCTGTCCTGCAGGGTTTTAACAAGCCGTGGGCGGGGTCTTACTCACAGGCTGCTTTGTGAATGAGCCTGGAGTTACTAAAACTCACCTCCAGCTGAGCTCAACTATCAAAAACACATCCCCACGGATCCGCCCTTCACGGCTTCCCGAGGACCCCTGGGGTGCCGGGTCCTGGGGGCTGGGGATCCCGCAGTGGGCTCGCGCCTCCCTGGCTTATTACACTCGGGCTGGGAGGCAGGCAATGAAACAGGATTAAGTGATGAGTGAAAGGAAATAAAAGATAAGTAGGGCAGGGAAAAGGGGCTGCAAACGAACTAGAACTAGGCCAGGCCTCGTAGATGGGGTGAGATTTGGGGGAGGGTCCAGGAGGCGGGGACAGACTGTGAAAGAGGGAGAAGTGGTGCGTCTGGGACCACGGATCTGGGGGTTCCCGCACCAGGAGGCTCCCCCGAAAGCTCGCCCGCCTCCCGGGAGCCCGGCTCTCCGCCTCTGCCGGGGGCGCCGAAAGTCGCACGGAACCCAAGTCCGGAGGGAAGCACCGTCTGGCGGACCCGGAGGGAGGCGCCCGCCGGAAGCCACGCGAGACTCCAACATGGCGGCCTCCTGGCTCCTGCGCTGGGGCCCGAGCCGAGCCGCCGCCCGGCTGCTCCGACCGCCCGCGCCCCGCCCGCGCCGGGATCTGCACAAGCAGGTAGACGGCGCCGACTTCCAGAGCATCTACAGCCTGGACAAGCTCTACCCGGAGTCGCGGGGCTTGGACACCGCCTGGAGGGTCCCGGTGAGCCGGCCGGGACGGAGGGCGCTTCCTCGCCCCGCTGGGTGGCGCGGCGAAGCCCGGGCCCCATTGCCTTGCGCACGGTTGATCGCAGGGGCGCCGCGGAAGGGAGCTGGTTGCCCCCAGCAACCGAGGACTGGGCCCCTGGGCGGGTCTAGGCGCCCCCGAGGCTCGTGGGGTGCGGGCGCTGGGAGAGCCAGCGGTGACGCCGAAAAGACCACCAGCTTTGCCGCATTAGTCCCCCAACCTTACGGCCCAGAGTCTCGTCGCAAGGAAAACGTGGGCATCTTGGCCCTGCAGGGTGGACAATAGAGGCAGGAGACTGGCACGCGTAAGTCACACTGTCCTCCGCCTCTGGTAACCCTAGCACACCTAGGACACTGGGCTCTCCTTCGTTTCCTCGGGGTGCACTTAGTGACCGCCCGCTGTGTGCAGGCTCTGGCGCCGGAGCGGGAGCGAGGACCCAGCCGATTCTGTGGCGTTTCCACCCACAGGTCTGGAAGAGAACACCCTTTGACTTCATGCACTCATTCAACAAACATGTATTGAAAGCATGCTTTGTGCACAGCGCTAGGCATGGGGATAGGTTAGTGAACGAAACACCGAAATCCTAATGTTTGTGGAGCTTTGATTCTAATGGAGGGAGACAGCAGTAAGTAAAATAAGGAGTACAAGAGTATGTGAGATGGTGACTGACTTTGGAGAAAATAAAGCCTGGAAGAGGAGTGCTACGGTCGGGGAAAGTGTTGCAGTTTTAAGCGGGATGGTCTAGGAAGGCCTCTGAGAAGGTGACATTTGAGGAAGGACCTTGGAGAAGCAAGGCAGGGAGCCATGAGAGCCATGAGAATAGAGGGGAGATGGGCATCCCTGTGGAGGGAACATAGGCTGTGGAGGGAACATAGGCGCAGCCACCTTAGCAATAGCATGCTCCACTTTCAGGGAACAGCAAGGAGACCAGTATGGGGACCTGTTGGAGGGTTTGAGGCAGAGGAGTGGAATGATCCAGCTGGGTTTTACAGAGATCACTCTTATAGAGCCTTATAAAGAGTAGACTGTAGGATGGAAGAACAAGACCAGTTAGGAGATTGCAACCACACAGGCAAGAGCCGAGAAGCAGGGTGGAAGCAATAGGAATCACGAGAATTGTTCAGATTCTTGATCTATTCTGAAGGGAAAGCCTGTAGGGTTTGCTAATGGATTTTCTTCTTCTTTTTTTTGTATCCTCACCCGAGGACATTTTTTTTGGTATGTGCCCCTAGCGGGGATGCGAACCTGGGACTCTCTGGTCCGCAGGCCGACACTCCAATCACTGAGCCAAACCGGCCAGGGCACTGACGACATTTTTGCATTTATCTTCAGATAGAGCAGGAGGGAGAGAGGGGGGAAGAGAGAGAGAGAAATATTGACTGGTTGCCACCCACACGACCCCAACCGGGGGCCGGGGACCAACTGCAACCGAGGCATGTGCCCTCAGCGGGAACCAAACCCGGGACTCTCCGGTCCACGGGCCAACCCTCCAACTGCTGAGCCAAACTGGCCAGGGCATGCTAATGGATTTTCTATGAGAAGTGAGAATAAGAGAGGAGTTGAAGTCTGGGGCCTTGAGCAGTGGAAGGATTGAGTTGCCATTAATTGAGATTAGAAAGTTCTTTCATTCAGCAGAAAAATAATTGTATATTTACTGTGTCAGACACTGTTTCAAGCACTGCAGATACAGCTTCTAGTGGAAGGAGCAGACAGTACGCAAATGGAGAAAACGTATCAGGTATTGCGAAGTAACGAATAGAGCAGGGTGCTGTCATAGAGAGTGCTAGGGTGCTACTTCAGATTGTGAGTAAGGGAAGTCCTCTCTGAGGTTTGGGATGAGAGGTGACATTGAATGGCAGTTGGCTATGGGTCTGGAGTAGAAGAAAGATGTTTGAGTTTGAGCCAGAAAGTTGGGAGTCACCAACACATGATATTTTTATCAATGTAAAGGATGAAATGTTCTGGGGAAAGAGGAAGATAGAGAAGAGAAAGGATTTCAGGGACATGTCAGTGTTTACAGATTGCAAAGAGCAAGCAAAGGAGAGTGAGAAAGCTCTAGGGAGGGAAGAGAAAAACAAGATCATTCAGAAGGAAAGGGAAGAAGGTGCTTCGGGGAGGATGTGGTTCGTGGTCTTCAGTGCTGCAGAGGTGGAGAGGGATGAGCATCCGCACCCCCATACCCCCCCCCCCACCAAATAATTCTAAGATGAAAAGGGGTGGGGTGGGGAAAGGGACAGGTGAGGATACTTTGAGCTTTGAGCTTGGATGGCTAAAGAGCCTCAGAGGGGTAGTTTTTGCCCTGGGCCTGTGGCCATGAGGCTCGAAGGCTGAAGGCCATTGCTAGAGGAACAGCACAGGGGAGACATGGAGTGCGAAATCCCGGAGAAGGTAGTTCTGTTTGACACAAACCCTCCAGCAGATGTGCTAGTCGCTGTTCAAGACAGGCGCACTCCTAAGTGAGCAGAGAGGACACGGTGGCCCACCAGGTTTGTCACTCCAGGTTGACAGAGGGGGTTCCCTTTGGAGTCTCCCTGATGCCTGTGTAGTCTGGTGCCTTCCCTCCCTCCCACCTTCCCTCCCAGGAGCTAGTGCCCGACACTACGTAAGGCGAGGGGCAGGGAAGGCTGGAGACATCAGTCCCATTTTCCTGGCGGAGCGCTTCTGAGGTAGTACCTCTGGCGTCTGGGGGGCTTTTTCTATCCTCTGATAGGGTTTTGCTGGGAATCTGAAAATAATTGTATTACATTTGCATCATGGCTTTACGTCATTTCTTTGGTTGCTCTGGACTGGTGAGGAGTCACCTGGCAGGTAATATTTACTTGACATTGTGCACATTACATTACAGGATGACGCAAAGCAAGCCAACAATGACATTCCTCTAGGTAAGTAATTTGGTTTTATAAATAAAATCACTCATTTCCCCCACCCCTCACATAGTCCTTCCAGATCTCTTCAGCCTAGTGAAAGTAAAGAAACTGTCTTTGGGTGTGCAAGGGTGGAGACCTTTCAGCATTGTTTAGAATAGCAAAAAAGACCCAGCCCGTGTGGCTCACTGGGTGAGCATCGACCCATGTACCAGGAGGTCGCTGGTTCCATTCCTGGACAGGGCACATGTGGAGGGCGTGCGGGAGGCAGCCAATCGATGTTCTATCTCTCTCTCTAAAAATCAATAAAGAAAAAAATATATATATATATTTTTTTATCCTCACCCGAGGACATTTTTCAATATTTTCTTCAGATAGAGTGGGAGGGAGAGAGAGAGAGAGAGAGAAACATCGACATGAAAGTGACACATCGAGTGGTTGCCACCCACATGACCAAACCAAGGCTGGGGACAAACTGCAACCAAGGTACGTGCCCTTAGCAGGAACCGAACCTGGGTCTCTCCGGACCGCAGGCCGACACTCTAACCGCTGAGCCAAACCGGCCAGGGCAAGAAGAAGAAGAAGAAGAAAAAAAAAAAATATATATATATATATATATATATATATATTTTTTTTTATCATCCTCACCCAAGGACATTTTTCCTTTTTTGTTCAGGTAGAGTGGGAGGGAGAGAGAGGAACAGAGAGAGAGAGAAACATCGATGCGAAAGGGACACATCGAGTGGTTGCCACCCGCACAACCAACCAGGGCTGGGGACAAACTGCAACCGAGGTACATGTCCTTAGCAGGAACCGAACCCGGGTCTCTCCAGACCACAGGCCGATGCTCTAACCGCTGAGCCAAACCAGCCAGGGCAAGAAAAAATATTTTTAAAAAAATAGAATAACACCCAGCTGGTGCAGCTCAGTAGTTGAGCATCGAGCCATGCACCAAGAGGTCACCAGTTCAATTCCCGGTCAGGACACAAGCCCAGGTTGTAGGCCCGTTCCCCAATAGGGGGCATGCAGGAGGTGGCCAATCATTCTCTCTCATCAATGTTTCTATCCCTCTCCTCTCCCTTCTCTGTCTCTAAAATCAATAAAGAAAAAAAATTTTTAAGTCATTGAGATGTGCAATATTTTGCCATGAGGTCATCATTTCTTTGGTGTGGGTTCTGTTTTACAGATCGCCTGACAATATCGTATTGCCGGAGTAGCGGTCCTGGAGGCCAGAACGTTAACAAAGGTACAGGGCACCTTGTCATTTTCTTTCACTTTAAAACTTAGTTGGAAGCGGAGTTGAGGATTCTGTTTGCATTCATGGGGAATAAAGGGCTTTTTTAAGCAGAAGCTTAAATACTGCCAGTTTATAATAATCCTCTTTATTCCTTCGAACGTGGGCTGGTCCTCAGACTCTCAGCTGCGGGTTGGCCTGTGAGTGTAAACAAAGGGAAAGCACAGTGAGTTGGCAGCCAGCTCCAAGAACAGGTTTCCTTCATTCTTGTGGGGCCCCTCCCCCCATTCTTTTCAGAACCCGATAAAGTGTCAGAGAAGCACTGCGCATTTAGTCCCTGGAAGTTTATTTTTGTCCAAAAGTGCCTGGCTATCTCTGCAGGCTCATTCCATCTCGGCTTCTCTCCCCAGGTTAATGCAGGGTAGAACGTACCTGGTCGGGTTTCTCGCCGCCCTCTGTTCAGCCTACCTATAGTCTCAGTAATCTGTGCCTCCTTGTCTCTCTTTCCAGTGAATTCCAAGGCCGAAATCCGGTTCCACTTGGCAACCGCTGACTGGATCGCAGAGCCCGTGCGGCAGAAGATAGCCATCACGGTAACCACCGGCCCCTCTCTGTTTCTTTTTTTCTTTCTTTTTTCTTATCTTCACCAAGGACATTTTTGCATTTATCTTCAGATAGAGTGGGAGGGAGAGAGGCGGGGAAGAGAGAGAAAGAAACATTGATGTGAGAGAGACACACCAAGTGGTTGCCACCCACGGGACCCGGGCCAGGGACAAACTGCAACCGAGGTACATTCCCTTAGTGGGAACCACACCTGGGACTCTGGTCCGTGGGCCGACGCCCTAACCGCTGAGCCAAACCGGCCAGGGCCCCTATCTGTTTCCTAATCCCTCAGTCACTTTCAGACCTTTACTCTGTAGAACTCTGGTTTTGCCTTGGTTTCCTGCAGCATAAAAATAAGATCAACAGGTTGGGAGAGTTGATCCTCACCTCTGAATGCAGCCGCTATCAGCTCCGAAATCTGGCAGATTGCCTGCAGAAAGTTCGAGACATGATCGCTGAAGCCAGCCAGATGCCCAAAGAGCCATCGAAAGAAGATGCTGTACTCCGGAGAATCAGGTGCCCAAAAAACGCCCCAAGCTTCTTCCGCCTGAGTTGTGAGGGGTGGCACAGGGAGGACGGGCAGGGGCAGGTCCACGCCCTCCCAGCAGAGAGGTGGGAAAGCCCGGGAACGGGAGGAGGCTGCCCGGAGTGGAGGCTCTGGACGGGCACCTGCTGAGTTGGCTGCTCTGCTTCCCGCTGAACCACCCGCCCTTCTCACCACTTTGACAGCACTGATCAGGCATCTGGGCCTAACTGTGGTCTTTTTGTTTGCAGGATAGAAAACATGAATCGGGAAAGGCTGAGGAAAAAGCGAATAAATTCTGCCATAAAGACAAGCAGGAGGGTGGATGTGGACTGAGATCGGCCTCCAGAGCTGGCGGAGACCCTCTGCAGGGCACCCAGGCGCCCGGTCAGAGCTGAGTGCCATCAGGAGATGGATTTGTCCTGCGTGGGTGTTAATGTATGTGTGGAGCATTGGAGCCATCTGAGACTGTTCATCTGGATGAGGGTGGCAGGCACTGGTCACCAAGGTCTTTATAGGCAATTACATGTTATCAAACCTTAATTATCCACTTCATGTATTATCTGCAATAAAATTCTAAATGCAGTGGCCTTCCCTTCTTCAGAACAGAATGTCTACCTTTCTCTGGTTGAAATCTGGCCAACAGTTACTGGCTGGCACTCACTACTGTCGTGGCCTGGGGGAGACAGGAATGAGTGTGGTGTCTGTCCTCAACACACAGTCGGGTGGAAGCCGAGACAGGTGGATTGGCATCCGAGCTGGGCCTTGAAAAAGGTACAGAATTTTAATCAGCAGCAAGGGGCAGAGCACATGCCAGTTAAAAGGAACAGTATGGACCAAGGAAACCAGAGAAAAGGCTGGGGTGGAGGAGACCATGAGGAAGCCATCTGAATGAGGGATTTGTGCAGGGGGACCACGGGAGGTAAGTCTGGACGGAGAGACAAGCTCAGTGTGGAGAGTCACGTTCAAGTTCAGCAGTTTCAATTTTAAGAAACAGTCAATGGAACCACTTGAGTGGGAAGGAGGGTCCTATGTTAGTGCTGCCGCAGGCCGTGGGTTGTGAGGGCAGGAAAAGAGTGAATTGGAACTAGAAGAAAGTTTTGCCATCCTATGGGTGTGGGAAGAACCCAGGCCAGCATAACTAGCAGATTCCTCTGGCACATACGAATTTCATAGAATGTCCTCTGTTATTTTGATCTAGTTCACTCATTTGACAAGTACAGTGTGTTGTGATGCTCTCAATGTAAGATAATGAATGGTGGTAGTGTATACACTTTATGTGAGCAGGGACCTCATTCATGTGAGTGTAAACAAAGGGGGAAAAGTCTTCGAGAAATTACTTAGGAAATACAAAAGGTGTGGAAGACATGGCCCCAAGTCCTCAAGGGTCTGAGAACCTAGTGGGGAGCAAGGAAGCTCAACATTCATTAGTTCATGAGGCCCTGGGTGTCAGCGATGAACCAAGTCTTCTTCCAGAGAACTGACGTTCAATCAGTTGAAAAGAAAAATGGATTCCTGAATGGTAACATGAACTGAAATGTAAATGACACAAGAAAGGTCTAACTATATTGTGGGAGGCAGAGAAACAATTAGTTCTAACTGGAAGGTCAGAGATGTATTTGAGCTAGGCCTGAAAGACGGGAAGAGCTTGTCGCCTGGAGGCTGCAGTGTGGCCAAGGGCCCTGCTGTAGCTGGGACCGTGAGCTATTTCACCAGAGAATGCTCTGGAGCCAGACTACCCTCATCAGCTCCTGCCCTCCACCACCCCAGCTGTGGGGCCTTGGGCAAACGACTTAGCCTTTCTGAACCTTTTCCCCTATCTGTAAACTAGGGATGATGTTATCAGTGCCTACCTTCTAGGGTTGTTGTAGGACTAAAATTAATAAATAAGTGGTTAATGGCACTGGGTATGTACTCGGGGAATGGTGATTAATAGCCTAGTTTGGCTGGGACTCAGGGGATGAGGAGCTGGGGAAGACACATCTGCCACACTGAGTGCGAGCCAGATCTAGAAAGTCCTTAAATGTGACAGTTAAGACATTTAGACTCTATCCCTACAGAGGCTGTCAGGGGAAGATTAATCTGACCATGAATAGAGGAGGAAAGACTGCAGGAAAGTGAGCACAGGTTGGTGGACTGACCCACGTGAGCAGTCAGGGACCCATCCTGGAACTAGGGCAGTGACTACAGGGATGGAGAAAAAATAGATGCAAAAGGATTATGGGAACAGAAAATTGGCCCACATGGAATGGGAGCAGGTGTGTGCCATGGGCAATGCTGTGCAGCGACACAGGCAAGTCACAAAGGGAGCAGGCTTGTCCTGGTTGGATGATGAGGACGGTTTTGCCTTGCGAGCGAGCGAGCGATTGACTCTGTGGGACCTGAGGAGGAATGCCTAGGTAGTTATGCCTGGGAGAGGGGATGGAGCCCCGGAGCTGGGGGTGAGTGAGGTTGCAACTGAGAGATGCAGGCTGGAGTGAGGCAAGTAGTCTTGGGAATGGCTAGCAGATGAGGATGAGGCAAGGCAAACCCAGGGAGACTGGGTCAAATGGTGTCAGCGGGAAACCAGAGAAGGCATCCCTATGGGTTGACCCTGAGCAAAGTGCTAGACCCCCAGGCCCTCAGAAGACATTGGTGGCATGTGGAAGGACCTGGAAAAGCATTCAAGACCGGAGGGGAAGTAGCGGTACAAAGAAACAGAACAGGCTAGGGGATGGAGAGTGGAACACAGAGTTAGAACGCATTTTTTTTTTTTAAGTTGAGGGCAAAAGAATGAACATGGGTGAACCTCATAGACACAAGTTTGAGCAAAAGAGGCCAGGCTACCAGAGAGTATGATTCCATTTATATGTAGTTCAAAACAAGGCAAAACTGCTTTATGTTCCTGTGATCTGTACACGTTGTCACACAAATGTTACACCTCAACAGACAAATTGATGAACTTAAATGGGGACAGGAGATGCATCAGGTGGGTTAGACTCTCCTTGTTGATGTGAAGCAAGGGGATCGGTTTCTGCAGACCACAGAATAACGTGTCCAAGTTCCCTGTGCCCACCAGGCATGACAGGAATGTACGCCCTTGGCTGAAGCTTCTGCTGTGACATCTTTCGGGTGTGAATGGATTCTAAGTGGACTTTCAACGTTTGTAACGTTTAAAAACGTGCTTATATTTTATTCGTCTAACAGGGTTTTTAATTGTTTAAAGTATTACAGATGTCCCCCTTTTTTCCCCATTGACCCCCTCTTTCTGGTCCCACCCCCCTCCTGCCTTCCTCAGCCTAGTGTCCGTGTCGATTGGTTGTGCATATAAGCATATAAGTTCTTTGGTTTATCTCTTCCCTCCTCTCCCACCCCCCTAACAATTTTAAAGAAATAAAATATTAGGATGAGGTATCTATTTGGCTGATCTACTTATTTTCTGTATATTATACATTTGTATATAACATATACGTTGTGTATATATGCATATATTTCTATTATGATGGAGGATTTATTTGTTCCTTCTGGTTGTCCCTTTCCTCGTGATGATGAAGATTTTCAGTGTTTTTGTTTCAGTCTTCATGATTGAGGCAAATCTGTTCTCGTTCACTTCCTGCACCCCTTTTCCCAAAAATTCCTGGATTTTATGTCAGTTCAGTAAAGGTGCGCAAGATGGCCCAGTCTTCACCCGCCGGGGTCCAGGTGTTCCGGCAGCTCCAGCCCCGTGCTTCCCGGGGCGGCGGCTGCAGGTCGGCCAGCTCACCTCCCAGGGTGGCTGGCGTAACCCGCAACCTCGCGGGGCTGTGAGCTCCGGGGGCCGAGGCACGCACAGCCCCGGCTCGCCTCCTTCTCGGAAGACCCCGAGCCCGAGAGTCTACTAGAGGAAAAGATGCCCCCTACGTAAGCTGCAAGCCCCAGTGGCCTAATGGATAAGGCACTGGCCTCCTAAGCCAGGGATTGTGGGTTCGAGTCCCACCTGGGGTACGGCTGTAGTTTTGGCGCTCGGGAAAATTCACTCCACCGCGGCTGGATCTTACCGAAAAGCCGCCAGTGAGCGGGGGCGGGACACTGAAAGGTTCCGCGTGGCAAAGCGCCGGGCGTCACCCTGCCCCCAACTTTTCTGCAGTTCACAGGCAGAAGCTAGCGAGCAGGACTTGTTCGTCGGCTTAGGGTGCCCCGAACCCCCAGAACGTGCGAGGACCGCGCGTGGAGGAAGGGGGCGCCGACAACGACGAGCCTCGAGGCTGGGAGCCGCGTGGATGACCCTGATGGCAAAAGCGAAGGGGCTTAAGAGGGCGGCCAGGGCTCCGGGGCGGCGCAGTGCCCAGGGCGCGGAGCGCGTGGAATGGAGCCCCTGGAGGCCCCGGAGGTCCGCGCGTTCACGGAACCAAAACTACATCTAGAAGGGCTCGCGCACCAACCCAGGGGGGACTCGAACCCCCAACAGCCAAGCCTGGGCGACCTCGGCTCTATCCATCAGGCCACGGGAGGACCACACGGCCCCGTGCCCACGCGGTCCCTGGCGGCGCTCCACAGCACGTGCACAGGCCTCCGAAGTCCCCGCCGAGCCGCGTGTCCCGAGCCTAGGCCGTGGCACGGGTCGCACAAAGCCAACAAGACAACCGGACGGCACACCCGCCGGGGAACGCGACAAGCTAAAGCGCACGACTGGACGGACGGCCGGCCGGTGGAGACGGAGCGAGGAGGAGGGTGGGGAAAAGGAGAAACATCTGTAGCAGAAATTAATTAACTAAAAAATAAAAGAAAGACGGGACGATTAGGAAGTGGCGCAGGCTGAGACCCGAGCGCGCCCTTAGCGCGGACGTCCAAGGCGAGGAGCGCGATGCTCGGAGCGCGAGTGTCAGCGGGCCGAGGGGCCGGGAGGGGGGGCGACAGATGCCTCCCTCCCGAGGCCACGGGACTCCCCAAAAAAACCGAAGCCGACCACGAAGGGACTCGAACCCTCAATCTTCTGATCCGAAGTCAGACGCCTTATCCGTTAGGCCACGCGGTCCCGCTACCGTGTGGGGTGCAGTGCCCAGTCCAGGTGAGACTTCCTTGCAGGTGGCGGCGCCTGTGACTACGCCGGTGAGGCCCGCAGATCCCGGGCCACGGGGCGGCGAGGGCAGAGCCGGGATGCGGTCTGGGCGGCGGGCGTCAGGGCGGTGCGTCCACAGATCCCTTAAGGAACATCGCGCTAGTGCTGATACCTAGGGCGTGTGTGTCCTATAGCGAGTGAGGGTCTGACTCCGGATCGCACAGGTTGAAGGTTCGAGTCTTCTCCCAAAGAGAGGACAGCACATCTGTGCCAGGACTGAATCCCAGTCTTTGCTTTAGACCCGCAGTTCCCGGACCCGTTCTCAGCTCTGGACTGCGGCTCTGTCTCACCCGAGAGGAGCGTGAGAATTGCGGTTTTACAACCCGAAACTTCCGTCATGACGTCATTACGCAGCCCCGAGCGTCACAGTTTAAAAGGCAAATGATCTGGCGCCGCTTACGTGATGCCCCAGTGGCCTAATGGATAAGGCACTGGCCTCCTAAGCCAGGGATTGTGGGTTCGAGTCCCATCTGGGGTGGAATCATTTAACCTCCAACACAACTTTTCT